ATGGAAGCAGTACAGTGGGGAGATAAGCATTCGGGAAGTGTTTTGAGGAGTTTTAAAATCAGGCAAAAGGAGTCAACTATTTTAAACTTAGAGGTTAGTGAAGATTTGGGAGGATATTATAAGGGGCAAATGCTAGCGACAACTGAAGGAATGAGTAATTATGCTGATTATTGGTTTCAAAAGAAGTGGGCGAGGGGAAAAGTTGGGATAGTTTGTGAGGAAGGGGAAGGGGTGCAAGCCTTGGAGACATGTGGGGAGGAGATAGTTGGAATGGATGGTGAAATTAGTATGGATGAAGTGAAAGAGGCAGTGCTCAATTTAAGTATGGGAAAAGCGCCAGGAACAGATGGGATTTTGAATGATTTTTATAGAGTTCAATGGGACCATATAAAGTATTGTCTGGTACAGGTAATGAATTGTATGCTGAGGAAAGGTAAGTTAGGAATGACACAGCGGACGGGTGTGGTCGTGTTAGTAAGGAAAAAGCAGGAGGGAAGAACACTGAGCATGTACAGGGCCATATCTTTAATGTGTACAGACTATAAGATTTTTGCGAAGATACTAGGGAATAGGATGAAGAGGGTGATAGGAGGTATACTACATAAGGGACAGTTGGGGATTCCGGGATGTAGCATGAGAGATGGGCATAGCCGGATTAGGGAATTTTTGAAGGGTTGCAATGGGGGTGGAATTTTAGGTATTGATTGGGGGAATGCATATGACGGTGTGAATAGGGAGTTTCTGGGGGCCAGTTTGAGACGTCTGGGTTTTGGTGAGGGAGTTGTAAAGTGGATTGAGATACTGTATTCTGGGGCGGTGATACAGGTGCAAATTAATGGTATGTTGGGCAGGATTTTGGAAATGGAGAGGGGTCTGAGACAGGGGTGTCCTATGTCTCAAATTTTGTTCGCATGCATACAGCACCTGTTTTATGAAATGGTTGAGAGAAAGGGGATTTTATATGGGGAGCGGGTGGGGTTTAATGTGGTGGTAGGGTATGTGGACGATACAACTGTACTGATCACTGGTGTAGAAGGATTGAGAACAATAGGAAGGGTCTTGAAGGTTTTTGGGAGGGCATCAGGAATGAGCGTCACCAGAGCTAAATCAAAATTATTAGAGATAGGTGCTTGGGTGGGGGTGGAATGGGGTTGGAGTTTGGATGGGAAGTGGCGGAACAGTTGAAAATTTGTGGAGTTCTATATATGGCTGATGAGTAGGAGGTTCGTCGAGTGAACTCGGAGTTGGTAGGAGAGAAGGTAGTGAAAAGAATATGGAGCCTAAGAGTGGGGGATGTTACTTTATTGCAAAGGGCGATTATAATAAATTCATTGGTGTATAGTAAAGTGTGGAATGTTGCTGTGGTGTATCCTTTACGGGTACAGGAGATACATGAGATACAGAGGAGCGTGCTCTATTATGTGTGGGGTTTTGGGAGGGCATGGCTCAGTAAAGAGATGGTCATGTCAAATGTACGAAGAGGAGGAGTAGGACTTTTGGCAATGGGGCCGAGAGTAAAGGCCATGTATGTAAAACAGAGGTTTGTGCAGGAGGATCGGGGTGAGAGGGGTAAGAGTTGGGAAAGTGATGGAGGATGTGCGACGGTGGTGGGGAGGAAAGGAATTAATTGAATGCGATACTATGTTCAGGTTATTTTTAGTCGTCGGAGATGCAGCAAAACTTAAGGTTGGAAGGTTGGTGGAGATGAGCAGGAAACCGGAGTAGTATGTTCTCGTCGATCTAGAGACAGGATAATGAGTGTGGAAAAGAATGTGATAATGGGGGGACAGCATAACCTCAGGGCTGTCAGGGTACATGTTTAATATGTTTAATCATCCCCCAAGGGGATAGAGAGACTTATTTCTGTGTATTACTAAGTAGAAAAAGGGAGATATGATCACTTCTGACTCCCCAAACCATCGGCGTGATTATCTGCCTGCGCTCGCTCTCCGGGTACATCGGGGGCATCTGTGTGAAAAAAAGGATAATAGCCTAACTTTTCAAAGGTGAAAACAAAAGTCTCACTTAGCAAATATATTTATTAGTTAACATTACATTTTTTTATTCCTCCTCTCCCTCAGAACAGCTAGCTTCTAAGAGCATGAAACTACAAGCAGTGGCGGAAGATCTACCTCTCTTGCGTAGATGCTTGACCCTGGGGAAAAAATCTCTTACGGTGTTTTCTCTTCCCCGCCAAAGATTGCAACTGTCTCTCATCTCTAGTTCCTCTTCTTCTGTACTCCCTTCTTCAGTACTGCTATTAGCTCCCTCGTCTTCCTCCACTTTGTTTTATCTTTAAATAATTTAAACTTTGTTTCTCCGGCATCTGGATGACCATAGGATACAGAGTGATAGGCATCTAAGTAAAAGCGCTTATCATCAAATGAGCTAAGACCTCGTTTCCTAGTGGTGATAGTGGTCATCTGACCTTTTAAATTTCTAATTTGACTATATTGGAAGGTATGTTTAGAACCTCTTCCAGCACACTTCTAAAGTTATTATGAGTTAATAATTGTTGTTCAGACTGAGGAACTCCTTCCGCAGCAATAGTGTTGTTGTTATCTGCTAGCAGGATGCTATACATTTTGGGTTTAATGCAGACTATTTCTGAAATAAGGCGGTCCCCCACCTCACTTTTAAGTAAGCCTAGAGATCCTTCCTTGAGTCATTGTAGAGAGGATGATCTGTGGGGAAATTAGATGTGTTATCCATTTCCTCAATGGTTTCCTTACCGATTTCATCAGTAAGTTTTTGATGCCCTCTAAACAGGCGATGACACTATCGGTATCTGAATAGATTAGTTTTATTTTGTCTTGGTATGTTTTCTTAAAGAATCATATACCAAAAAATGGTACAGCTTAAATTTTAGCGAGTTCTAGTATCTGGTAGCATGTAATTAGGGTAAGTGAGTTTTATGGTGGCGTCCGTCGTAACAATACTTTGTTTTCTGAATGCTTATGGCTTTCTTAATAGTGGCTTACTCACCGCCCGCAAAAATGCTTCCTGCTGATGTTATGAGCTTCGTTTTTGTTGCATATTTTGATGGATTTAAACAATGTCTTGCCGATACAGAATTGGTCAAAAAATTAAAATAATCGCTGACAGTCTTTACTAGTGCTACTATTACGTTGCCTCACATTTGTTTCTACAAAGTCTGTCAGATATTTTCCTTGTGAGAATTCATATATGCTATGAATTTCTCAATTTGTAGCCCTATCTCCAAAACAACTGCAATAAAGGCAATGATATTAGGTAGTTTCGTTTGGGGAGATGGCCCCCCACTAATTAGTATTTTTACGGGGTAGTTTTTGATTATGTTGCCAATAGCTGTTTACTGTACTCAGATAGATCATCTAATGTTATCTGTTTGTGATAAGGGACATAGTGGCAAGTAATCTGTGTAGCGAGCTAATTTGGGGCTATTCCTAGAGTGTCTATTAAGAAGCCAGTAACCTTTTATAGAGTCTTGAGGATTCTTCTGGAGAAGACCACCATTTGCGAGAAAACTCACCTTTTTCTGCGGGTGAGAGTTTTCGAATGTTTGTGTAGGGCAGCTCCTCAGTCATACAAGAACCATAAAGAGAATTAAAATCCCAGTATAGCAAAAAATTTACTTACTAAGTTTTTCTCATCAAAAATTGGGATTAATGAACTGGTTATTGGCTTGAGCAAACGTCCTAACAGCGGTGGTGAAGCCGCTCTTATATTGACTGTATGATGTTATAAAGCTCCTGATCATTTAATTAATTTAATTCCACTCCACTGGTTTTAAGAAAGCTCATAGGCAAAACCGGGAGGGAAGCATAGTGAACAACATTAAATTATAGATGTTGTTAATAATCTCCTATGCAAGGTGAAAATGTCAGCCAGAAGCCTACATCACAGCTGAGATATACTTGGAGATAGTCTCCTAGAGTTGACAAGCTGTTTTCTCCCAAACCAGATGGCATGATCGAAATTTTTCTTGGCTAATATGCTTCTTGACAGAGACTGTAGAAAGCTCTTTTTGGGGGTAAAGTCTTCTCTTCGAGCCTTTCTGGGGAGCGGCAATATTTATAAGGAAACACTTGTTTGCCGGTTAATAAGCATCCCCAACTTTCGGGGGGTAGATGACTTATCATCGCCTCTGTGAATTTCAAGGGTGATTTTGAAGCTATGTGCGCCTGAGCCAAACTAGCCAAACCAGCGGACAAGAAGGCTAGACTATCCAGGAAACGTAGTGCCCCCTATTTCTACCTTTAGGAATTTATATCCCTGTTTCATTAAAACATTGAGTTGGGGCTTTAACACTTAGTTCTTTAATTATCAAAGCCATATCATATGATGGGTTTTATAAATAATAACAGGCAAATATTTACCTGAATTTTTCTGTCTTAAATTGCAATTATTGCAGAGGGCTCCTAAATAATTAGCCTTAGGCATAAGATGGTCATGATGCCTCACCTTTGGTTTGGTAAGAGTAAAGTCCTGATGACAGAAGTTGCACTTCTTCTGTATGGCAAAATTATATGCTGCTCCCTGGTCATATGAAGTGGATAACAGGGAGTGTTCATCTTTATCCAATCCCATAAAGACGAAAGTCTATCATACATATGATCAATACACTGTGCCCCCCGATGGACATATCTATCTATTATAGTGTTATTTCTGTCTATCACTATATAGCTATAAGCTATTGCTACGTGTCTAGCTGTTATTATCCCCCTCTGGCTTACGATTATCGAGGTAAGCTTCTAAATCCACAAAGGCAGTATGAGAGGGCAAGTAGCCCTTGTGAGTATTTTTGAATTTGCAAACGCTTCCAGCTGGGGGAAAAATCAACTTTTGTTGGTTGTCGCATGAATTGAAGTGAGTTTTTAAGTTACAAATGTCACTATATTCACTTAAACAATTCAAGCAAAAGTGCTTATTGCGTGAATGTTTTCTCGAGAAAATTCTCATATATTTCTGGAAGTGTTTGATTAAAGCTACATGAGTCTTTCCCAACAATAACAGGGGCACTACCAGTGAATATTATTACTACCCCGACGACATAAAGTAGCATGATAGGTCCCTTCATGAGAAGTTAAGCAATAAATAAATATTGATATTTTGTTGTCAGACTCGAGTTTGTGGATGTCACTCCACTGGACAGGGATAGTCAGTCGCGAGTAATTGACAAATTTCTGAAGGCTATCACATCTAGATAAATATCGTCTGATTTTATACCAGCCCCAGCCAAGTCTACGACAGAAAAAGGCTGCCAGACATTGAATAAAACAGCTATTTTTTACTCCTTTCGGGTTAAATATCTGATTTTTCCCTCGTAAAGATGTGGGATATTCTATATAGTCTCCTAGGTATCCACGCACTCCATTCTTGCATATTACAATATGAAAACCCTTTATATAATCTAGTATGAAGCCTGATCCCTCGCCCGATGAAATTTCAGTTTCTAATCGCGTGCTAAGGTACTCCCTCCATGACCGTAAGAGCCGAGATGTATCATCTCGTGTAACTAGTTGCGCGGGAAAAGTTATATAATGCTCACGACTGTCATCCTCTCCCAGTAGCGACTGTCTGCGCAAAATAAGGCTCAGTTCGGCATAAATCCTAAGAGCATTTTCATAAAGTGCTCGTCCTGATAGAACAGTGATAAAATGCAATATATGCTGTATAAATGTTGTTGCGAAGGACTGAAGAAATAATATGGGGTCGTGTTTATGAGAGCCAGGAATTGAATATTTTATTCGGTGGAAGTGACCTTGAAAACATTCCGACTGATGTGTTATGTGAGGTTCCTCTGAAATGGAATCGTCTCCCATTTCACTCTCTTCCTCATCTGAACGAAAAATTTTTTTACCTGAAGTGAACCTTCGCTTAGCAGAGGAGGGGGAACCCAAGAAAGAGTAGTAATGATCCTTGGAAGAGGAGCTGTCACTTGTGGCGGCTGGTCTCCATCCACTGGGACCGGCAATCGGCTCAACTTGCTCTTGTGGGAGTGTTACGGTCGAAGATTCATCGGAGGACACAGACTGATCTGCATAATATAATTAGCGAAAGTTATTTATTATTCTTTTGTTTTAGTGTCATACTAGGCTAATTATAACTCGAGCGATCTTTTAAAAAATGTTACTGTTAAAGTATAAAACTGGGAGAAGCTAAGCAATCTATGGAATATATGCAGTTCTCAAAATTATTTTTATTCTTGTTAGTGAGATACTTTATAAACATATCTTAAAAATGTTTGACTGTTAATAAAAATAATTGATTAAGAAAAGAGCGCTCACCTCTTTCTTCCTGGCCCGCCCCCCGGATCATCTGCTTGGAGTATTGCCCCGCCCCAACTGTTGGAAAAAATTATTATTAGCTCAAAGACTTATTTCATTATCTGAAAATAGCAGTTTTAAGAAAACATCAATTCAGAGCAATAACCTGGTAATCTCACCTGTCACGCATCTCCTGCGATGAGCTGTGACATTCGCTACACACACTGATAGCCCGCAGAAACTACAGGGGAATGTGTGATGAGCTGCATCCTGAGGGTACAATCGCCCGCATAGGTGGCATCTGCGAGCTGGGTGACGAGCCATAGCTGTAAATACACACACACACACTCATATTCCATAAATTATTTAAATTATAGATAATATTTTAATCTCCCATAGATAGAGAAGTTTTTACCTGCTCTAATCTAAGCTGGTAACTTTCTTGAGTGAGCGGGAAGAGCACCTTTCGCCCTAGACGAAAAGGTGAGCGTATTTATAGCTCACTTTTAGGATAGCGTGCTCATAAGGTGCTTAATTTTCCCCAAAGTAGAGGTACAGTTTTTCACATCAGTCTCTCTCTATTTTCACGAGAATCTTTTAAACAAAAATCCCTGCAAGTCTATATATTATAAATATAATCTAGAAAAGATTTCTTATTGTCAATAAAGTAAGAGGGATAAAATCTGGGAAGAACTCTTTTCCCGAACGAAAAAATAAGAATTTAGACCGGGCAAGTAGGGAGGATTATGTAAATTGCCATAGTCATGTGAATTTCCCATTTGTATAAAGCCGAGGCGAGGGAAAGATTAATTTATAGATTCTGTCCATCGCCAAAACTAAATATTCTTAAAAATAATAATAATAATATATTTTTCCCCAAAATAAAAATAAATAAATAAATAAATAAATAAATTAGCCATCAGCTGGCAGAAAGTGGCGGGGCCTGCTTCTCTTTGTCTGTGACCTCCATTCTACCCACCGCCACCTGGCGTAGGGGCCCCGCCCGAGGAAGTGAAACTGCGTAATATCCAGACGACCTTCACTGTCGGTCGGGCTTTTTTCTATGGTCTTCTGGCGGGAGAAGGACATGCTGGCATTGTTATCTTCATCTCCGGGATAAACTCCCCCTCCCCTCTGCTTTGAACTAAAAAGAAATGTTTATATATAAGATGATTCTTCCACAAAAAAGGCTCATTTGAGATGGGAAGATGGACAAGGTCTGTACCTTTACAGAGGAAGAGTTGAATATTTTCAGAGAGCCTGCAAGAATACTTGTTGCTGGTTTTAGCGGGGCAGGCAAGAACAGTCTAGTGGAGCGTTTATGTCAGAAATATGCCGGTTCTTTTGCGAGAATAATCATTTCCAGTCTGGATGATAAAACTCACCCTTTGAAACAAATCACCTCTCTTAGTGAGAAAATCATTTTAGTGAAAGGTCTCATTAACCCGGCGGATTACCAAAATCCCCTTGAGACAGACAATAGCTCTCTGTATATAATTGATGACCTTTTTAATGAAGCAGCTAAGAGTGATATTATAGTTAATATATTTACTAGAGGAAGACACGAGCAAATATCCGTAATTCTCATATCTCAAAATTTATTTCCACAAGGAAAATACGCTCGCACGATCACGCTTAATTGTAGCCAATATATTTTATTAAGACAACGAGATCTGTCTCAGTTGGAATGTCTCGGGCGACAAATTTATGGAAAAAATCTAGCCCCGAAATTTGTTGAGATATATCGTCACGTCACTGCGGATAAATACGGCTATCTTCTGGTTGATTTAACCGCTCCAGAGGAAATTCAATTACGAAGCTTCATTACCGGAGAGGGCAACTGTGAAACTGTATACCACTGGTAAAAACAAAAATGGCCTTAAATTCACATAAAAGGAAAATTCTAGAAAAAGTATATAGAGACGTCAATAGCCCCGGTGGCTTTACTGGGAATGTTAACAAACTTTTTAGAGCAGCTAGGGAGAAAAACGCCTCTATTACTTATAAAGACGTAGTAGATTATCTCTCTTCTCAGAGGGCCTATACTTTGCATAAATTGCAGCCTCTGCGATTTCCTAGACGGAAAATCATAGCCGCTGCCCCTCGCATTATACTCACCTGCGACTTGGCGGACATGACTTTATTACATTCCCACAATGGTGGCATTAAATATATTTTGTTATGCATTGATGTCTTTTCAAGGTTAATGAAGGCGGTAGGACTAGTCAGAAAAAACTCAAAAAGCGTCTTGTCAGCCTTACGAAATATTATAGAAAGCCCCACCTTCCGTGGAATTTCGAGATTACACACGGACAGAGGGACCGAGTTTTATAATCGTCCTCTTCTGAATTACCTAAAAAAAAAAAATATTAAATTATACAGTACCTTCTCGGACACTAAGGCTGCAATAGCTACTGATACTTCTCTTTCTCTACTGATCTTTGATTTGCTATTTTTTTCCTATATTTATACAAGGGCTGTGAGGGAAAAGTTCAACAGATAGGAGTAGCGAGCGAGTATATGGTGATGATAGTTTGATTGCTGGTCTGCTTGTTAAGGTAGTGTCAGTCTAGCTCCCGCTATCCCCTCTCCCACCCCCC